AGCCGCGCGCCCCCTCGAAAAAGGCCCGTCCTCAGCGCTCCCAGCCTGGGAACAGTGAGAAGCGGGGCGGGCCTGGCAGAAGGGGCGGGGCGGGGGGACCCCGTTTCGAACGGTCCGAAGACATCGCGCTAGGCAGCGTGGGGGCTGCGCCGCAGGAGCCGTTGGGGGAGCCGGGTCCTGTGCCACTGAACCAGCCCGGCTCTGAGGGCTGAACCCACTGCACGCCAGCGCTGGGCAGCAGCCCCCTGCCCCTGGGCCTGGGCAGGGCCTGCCACAGGGTAGGACGCTAGCGTCAGACTGGCTCCAGTTGTCACAGGTATGTCTGGCCTCAGCTCCCCTCCAAAGCAGGGGCAATAAGGGGCTTAACTACTTTGGAGGATCTGGATCTCCCTGTGCTACCCAAGCCCCAGGGGATTTTGTAACACATCTCGGTGTCACATACAATACTTACGTTGGTAAGAAATGATTCCCTAGACGGCACATCAATTTCATCATAAAATTCTAAACATTTACCAAAAAGCATTTTTTTTTTAAAGCAGGACATCAATTCTTGTACTTCTAGACACGGGAGGTTCATATATGGCTGTATCAAACAAGACCCACTTCTTGACAAAATCAATTTCCAAGGGATGAAGTGTCCCTGCCTCCCTCTACCCCCTCCAAAAAAAAAAAAAAAAAAACACTGCAAAAAAGAGTAGTGGTTCATGCGCCAGTCAGGGAATTCACTATTCTGGACAAATCAAATCAGATGTCAAAATGATCAAATGTGTGTCCTAAAAGTTAGGCACCTAAATAAAGTGTAAATAAGTGACCTAATTTTTTAGAACTGCAGAGTCTCAGACTGTTTCTACATTGGCGCAGTCTTGCGCCAAAGTGGCTGCTTTTGCGCAAAAACATACTGCCTGTCTACATTGGCGGGGAGTTCTTGCGCAAGAACACTGATGTTCTAATGTGTGAAATCAGTGCTTCTTGCGCAAAAACTATGATGCTCCCACTCAGGAATAAGCCCTCTTGTGCAACTGTTCTTGCGCAAGAGGCTAGTGTAGACAGGCAACATGAATTTCTTGCGCAAGAAAGCCCGATGGCTAAAATGGAGTCAGCTCTTGGTCAATTTCAGCAGCGGCTGACTTGGGGACGCCTGGGGCAGAGCAGCTGGGGTGCTGCTGGGTTGGTCCCGCACCGCCGCTCCTCAGCGCTACTGGACCAACCCGGCATCACCCCAGCTTCTCTGCCTCAGGCGTCCCCCAGTCAGCCCC